CGGGAGACAGGTGGACCTCTCTACAGCAGCTGGGGGGTGTGACCCTTTAGGGTCCTATAAAACCAGTTTAATGGATCACGCCTAACACTTACAAGAAACAAACAAGTAGGATGAAACAATCAGTGAGCATCCTATGTAGCAGGGTAAGGATTGCTTCAGTTTCACATGCACACAAGCATGTGCACATGTATGTGAATGGAGGCATGATGTAAAAATTAAGTTTCCTTGCCATGGTCACAGTCAGGAGCATTTGAAAGTTTCTGTTTTAACAACTACCTTTGCCTGTTGGCAGGTGCGTTGGGGGCTTCCAAATGCCCTGTTCTCCAGCCTGCAGCCTCTAAGTGCTCTGGAGTGCAGCCCCCATGCCCCCCCCACCCCCGCCCCCATGTCCAAATGTCCAAAGCCTCCTTCAAAGGAAGCTCTGCCAACTGTCTTTCTTTTTCTGTTGTTCTGGGTTATTTTGTGTTTCGTGTGTTTCTTGTTCTGTTTTTATTTGTTTTGTTTCTGTGGGGTGTGGTGTTGTTGTTGTTTAATAGTTGTGTTGATTTCAGAGAGAGGATGGGAAAGGGAGAGAGGGATAGAAACACCAATGATGAGATTCATTGATAGGCTGCCTCCTGCACGCCCCCTACTGGGGACTCAGTCTACAACCTGGGCATGTGCCCTGGCCAAGAGTCAAACTGTGACCTCCCGGTTCACAGGTCAATGCTGAACCAGAGTCACACTGGCCTGGCTGTTTGTTTTTCTGTTTTTCTTTTTAGAGAAAAGATCAGGAGTCTTTGAGTCAGGTTGCCTGGTTTCTTGCCGCCTGACCTCAAAGTCTCTCCCCTTCCCTGATCTCAGGCAATACTACATCCTCCTCCATCAGAACTTGATGAAAGGCTGGCCCTGGAGGGGTCTCTGGGGTCCCTTGCAGATTCTGTAATTATGGGGGTTAATTCTCAAAATGCACTGTTTCCTTTTCTAACTCCAATCCTGACACCTGAACCCCCCAACATTTTGGGTATGTGAATATGTGTATACATTTGGTCCATAGATTTAGATCAATTACCGTTCTTGGCTTTGACACCTATCATCTTTCATCCACGTCAATTAGTTTATTTAATAATATAATGGACACTCATAAGTGTACCTCCCAAACCAAGAACGAGAATATCACCACTAACACATCTTATGTGCTCTTCTCCCAACTCTCCCCTCCCCACCCGCTCTCAGAAATAGCCACTAGCTGGATTTTGTGTTTCCCATTTCCTTGCTTGTCTTTTCTTGTTTCATCACATATTTATGATACTTTTACTTGCTTCTGAATTTTATTTTTTATAAGGATCTCAGGCCATATGGTCTTTTGCCACTTGCTTTCCTCATCTTAGCGTTATAGTTGCAAGACCCATCTATGTAGCAGCGGTTCATCCATTTCAATGACAATGTAATGCTCATTGTCAGAATGTACCACAGCTTGCTGATGCACGCTTCTGCCACTGGACATTTGGATTGTCCCCAGTTTTCACTAATCTGGACCATGTTAGTTTGACTATACTTACAAATAGCCCCCGTTGTACATCTGCAAGAGTTGCTGTTGGGTATATACCTGGAAGAGGAATTGCTGGGTGATACAGCATGCAAACATTCAATTTCACAAGATATTGCCAATGCTTTTCTCCCAAAGTGTCTGTTCCAGTTGATTTCCCACTGCCAGTCTATAAGATGTTCTGATACATATTCAACATGGATCTTTGTTCTGTTAGAAACCGTACAATGGCTGCGGAGGTGAAGACCCAACCCGCTGAACCACCCCGGGCGAGGTGAGGCCCCAAATGCCTACCCTGCTGACCGAGGAGGTGGTAGGGACAAAGGGGGCCTCAGGGGAACTCAACAGACTGGGAGTCCAAGAAAGGCAGTCCTTCCTCACCTCCCACTGCCATCAACTAGGCCCTGATTGGTTTCTTAGGCCTGAGGCACCACAGGTCGCAGGCGGGCACCCTCTCTGGATGGGGAGAGGATGTGATGGCAGGGGCCAGGGGCCAGGGGGCACAGAAATTCCAGGGATTTTCAGGTGGTGACTTTCTGTTAGTTGGGGTGTGGGGAGGCCAGCTAACTATGACTTTCAGAGAAGGTTTGCTTTATTTCTTTAAGTCCCAGATCTCTTAGAGGCGGCCGGAGGATGGAACGGGAAACTCAGGGGCCTGGTCAGCAAATTCCTCAGAGGGTCCAGAACAGCTTGCTTAGCATATCCAGAGTCCATCTGTACCAGAGGGGGACTCCCTCCAGCCAGGGTCACCGGGAGAAGGGAAAGCCAGGCACCAAGGACCAGCCCACCGTTGGATCCTTGCTGGACCGACTTCGACATCATCCTCCAGGGGCAAAAGCACAGCATCCTTGAGAGGGAAGGGGTGCAGGGTGGAGGACAGAGAACCTGAGACGGCTTGTCTCCAGTGAAGCGAAGCAAGAGCTTGAAGCTTCCCTGCAGCGTCGCAGCTCTGAGAGCCGCCGCATCAGCTGGGCGTCTCCTGGGAGGGCCCCAGGGGGCAGGGACTTGCTGGTGTAATCTGGCCTTGGGGACAGCTTTGGCCCGCATGCTGTGTCTGGGCCAAAACTGCCCCTGATGGCATGGGGGAGGGTGACAGCCTGTAGCTGGCTTCTCTTGGGCAGCCAACAGTTTGGCTTGGGGAGAGGCCCCTGCTGGGGCCAGCCCGCTGGCTCTGGAGGTGTATATAATGTGTCTCTGCTCCAATCCAGGCATTCGGATGGCTGGTGGGTCTGTAGCTTCTCTTTCTGGCTGTAGAGATGGTCTGTGAAAGAAAGCTGGGGTCCCAGGGTATTCTACCTGAGTTTTCTCAGATGGATTCCAGCTCCCTACTAAGGCACCTGAGGAAGACAGAAGCCTCCCTGGGACTGGATTGTCCCAATGGGGAGGAGACCCTGTGGGAGGCCCAACTTGGAGGCCGGCAGGTGGCAGAGAAACCCTGGAAACCACATTTCAGAGTATCTCAGGAATGGACTCTGAGAAGCCCCAAGCTAGGGCAGACACTGCTGCCAGGAGGCCTCATTAGCTTCTCCTTGACCTTCTTCTTCAGTCCAAAGGCTGAGCCAAAGGCTGCGAAGTCAGAGCACAAGCCAATAAGCCAAGGGGTCGAAGGGCCCCAGAAAGAACCTGTGGTCCCAGGGATCGTGGATTTCAAGGTGGTTCGAGAGGAACTGAGGACCGCCAAGCCCGAAACCCCTAACACTTACCACTTCGGCCGCCTCAGCCACAACTCCTTCTTCTCCCGGCATCATCCCCACCCCCATCGTGTGACCCACATCAAAGGTAGGGCTGGGGTAGGCCAGGGCCTGGTGGGCAGTGGAGGAGGGGTGCTCTTAAAACCTGGAAAGGGAGGACCCTGCCTCCATTTCTAGGGTGAGGCCCAGAGAGGAAAGGGACTTAGCCAGGGTCACAGAGTGGCTTGGCCACTTGCAAGCACTTGACCAAGCCAAGAGTTGCCTTGCGGGGCAGGCTCCAGGGGCAGACTACATGTCCCTACAGGGTTTCCTTTGCTGCGGGTCCTCCCGCCTCACAAATCAGCGAAAGGGATGAATGTTTTGCCTCTGAGCTGCACTCGGTTCACAAAAACAGGCCATTTCATCCTCAGGTATCTACTGAGTGTGAACTGTGCCCGAGCCAGGCACTTTTTTGGACCCTGGGAATATGACAATGACCAAGACAGGGAGCTGACACGCTGGTGGGGAAGAATAGGAAATAGAGGAGGTGTCAGAGCGTGGGAAGTGCCAAGGCTACAGAGGGAAGACATGACCAAGAAACATGACTTTTAAACAAAGAACTAAAAGAAGAGAGAGCATGAATCAATCATGTGGATGTGGGGGGATGGATGGAGGGAGGACGGAAGGAACAGCAAATACAAAGGCCCAGCAGCAAGGAGGCCCATGTGGCTGGAGCCGAGTAAGGAGAGAAGGGAGATGCAGCAGAGAGGCAGTGAGGGCCCAGGCCATTGCAGTCGTCACTAAGCCATCTCACTGCGTCGGCTGAGAACCACCGAGAAGCTGAGAGCAAACACGTGTCAGGCGTGATCTACTGGCCTCTGTGGGGATGGTGGCTTGGACCAAGGAGGTAGAGGTGGAAGAGTTAGCGGTCCAGCTCAAAAGATATGCAGAAGGTAAAGCCAACAGGATTTGCTGATTGATTAGAAATAGAGTGAGAGGAAGAGGGGGATCAATGTTGACTCCTGGGTTTTTGGCTTGAGGAACTGGAAAACTGGGACGAAAAGACTTCAGAGGGAACCAGTGGAGGAGAGGAGACGAGTCCAGAGTTTGGTCTAGAACTGAGAGATGCAAAATGTGAGATCCTTTTAGACATCCAGGTGGAGGCACAGGGAGGGGCAATTGGGTCTGGAGTTCAGGGGAGAAACAAACAGGAGAGCGATTCAGGTACGGATGGCGTTTGAAATGGCGCCTTGATGGGCTCAGCCAGGAGACTGTGTAGATACAAAAGACGAGAACCTGGGGACGGAGTCCCAGGGACCCCAAGGCTCAGAGGCTGTGAGGAGGAGTACGCAGCAGAGGGAATGGGGAGTGGCTGGTGAGCCAGGGCGAGCCAGGACAGTGAGGGGTCCAAAAGGAAAGTGTTTGGGGAAGGAGATAGTGAGCAACCATTCTGCCCCATTCAGGCTGGTCCTCAGAGCGTAACTGTCCAGTAGTAACAATATCACACAGACCTTAGGCCGGAGGGTCCTCATGTGTAAACCGCCTGCCACCGCCTCCAGGCTACCCGGCACTCAGCCCTGGACAGGCTGACAGATGGAGAGACGTTTCATCCAGGGAGTTTAGCTAAATCTCACTCCCTGTGGTTTGAGCCCAGGTCCCTCTCCACACCCAGGGGTCCCTCTTGAGGCTGCTTACCTCTCTCTGCTCACACCTGCAGTCATTGCTGTCATCGAAAGGCCACAGGACCTCAGGACGAGGGTCGCAGGAAGCCCAACTTGCTGCGTGACCCTGAGCCCATCCCTTCGCTGTCAATTCTAAGTGCCCCGGGGGTGACGTCTAGGTGCCTGCAGAGTCTCTCCATGTTCTAATGATCTACGGGCTCTGGTTACTGGAAGTGCTCTACCTGCCCAGCCTCCTGGAGCTATTGGGGTCCACGCAGTCACCCTTTCCCACGGCCTCTGTCCCTTCACAGATCTCACCGGGAAGCCCGTCTGTGTCGTCAAGGACAGGTTCTCTCTGGCCTCCTTGCCTCAAACTGCATTCCTCTCCCCGTCTCTGATGGGGATGCCTGCCCTCTTTCTCCCCATTGGAGACCCACAGTCCAATCGGGATCCCCGGCTTAAGCCAGGTGGGTGCTGGGACCACAGACCTCTACCTTGGGGCTACACCTCTCCCCAAGGGCTGCCCCGCTTGGGTGGGTGCCTGAGAAGGAAGTGGGATCCCGCCTCATTTCCTCCAGCTTTGGCATCTGCATTATTCGCCAACCCCAAGATCTCAGTAAGGTGCCCCTGCTTGGATTTGAGGTGTTTGAAGAGTAACCACAGCAGAGGACAAGCAGATTTTGGCCAGTCATGTGACTTCAGGCTGGAGAGGAACGATACTGGAAATTATTAGTACTTGCACTCAGGCACCAGCCATCAGAACAGGCAGCCATACACAGCACCACGGCACGCTCTGAGGCCTCTGCTCCGCGGGCTGTGCCCTTTCTGTTAGGGGTGCGGGGCAGGGGCTGGGACAGCCTGCAGGGCAGAGGTTTGTTTGGAAGGCTTGCTTGGTGCTCTGTACCGCCCTCTCCAGGAGCAGTTCCATATTTTAGTAACTGGCACTGCATAGCAACTGAATCTCAATCTTGGCTTCTGTTTCCTAAAAGAGGCAAAGCTATATTAAGCCACTTGCATTTTGGCACAAATAACCAAATACGGTCCAATGTCTCCCATAAAATCACAGGCTAGGACATTAAGGGCCCCCTCCACACCCACCCTCCCACCCACCAATGGTGTGATGCCTAATCCTTCCCGGAGGGCACCCTCTCCCCTCCCCTTTAAGATGCAGATGGAAGGCTGGGAGGAAAGGAGGCTCTTCCACCCACAGCATCCCCAACACCTGGGGCCACAGGGAGGGCGAGGAGGAGGGGCCCAGACAGCAGTTGCCAGGATCTTGTCCCCTCCCCCCAGAGGCCTGGAAGAAGGAGTTGAAGGAACTGGCTTCCCAGGTGGTCATCTTCAGCAAGGAGGATGAGCCCAAGAACAAAGAGGTGGGTGCAGAGCAAAGGCACTACCTGGGAAGAGATGAAATGGAACCATCTCTTTGTACGAAAAATCATTCCCAAGTCTGACCACACTGACCAGCCGGAGAGCAAGTGCGCATTGAGATGCTGCTGTCCGCACTGAGGAGGAGGAAGAGACAACAAGTACCAACCCAAGGGCCGCAGTGAGGGCTCCAAGGATCAGAGAACACACCCAAGAGGAGAAATCCAAGAAGGGTTCTTAGTCCAGAGGTGGAAGGGGGAGGCATCCTAGTGGAGGCACGCAGTTCAGAAGCCAGGAACACAGGACCCCTCTAGAGAGCGAGGAGCTGAAGTGCAGGGCCTAGTGGGCAGCAGCGGAGGAGAAGGTGGAAAGGGGCCGACTTAGAATGACTTAGAATGACTTAGAAAGACCAGCTTGCTTTAATTTCCAAACTTAGTGTAAGTGTCTAATCTCATAAGGAATGGAGAGTCACTGAAGGTTTTCAGACAGTATTGGGGTGGCCTCGTGGGAACTATTTGCTGACCAGTAAAGACAAGTGGGAGGCAGCTTGAAGGTTGTAGGAATTGGTCCTAGGACAGGCCTGGCCCTTTGTGGATGAGTCTCATTCTGCGCTTGTGCTGGGCAGCAGAATTCTCATCCCTGCTCTACAGCTACGTCACTGCAGCTCTTGGGGCAGCGGCCTGGGCCTCAGGTTTCTCTTCTTTAAAAGGGAAGCTGGATGCTACCAGTCTTAATTGAAGTTGCAGGGTCTAGAGGCCCCAGGCCTTGTGCCCATTGGCCTGGCTTAGGAGGGTTTCCCGGGGCTAAGAGAGGATGCCAAGCTGTGTGAGACAGACCTGGGGGCAACTGAGCTAGGAATTAAGGTAGGTGTGTGTGTGTTGGGGGGCGGGGGGTGAGGGGCTAGGCATAGAATACTGTTTTCAAATCTCTGATGAGCTTGGGGGAGGGATAGCAAGGAGGACTTGCCCAGGACCATGGTGAGTGAAGAGGGGAAGGGAGAGTAGGTAGGAGGCCAGCATTCAATGAAGTTCCAGGAGGAAGAGCTTTGGCTGTATGGAAGGGCCCCCTGCTGGGGAAAAGGGTCTAGGACAGTGGGGGCTGGCCTGGTCCACATCCTGGGTCCCTGCAATGCTGTGATGCTGAGGTTCCAGGAGAGGAGGTGATGGGCGCCCTGGAGATGTGAGCCTTACATGGAATATGTCCCCTCTGTCTCCTATCTATCTATCTATCTATCTATCTATCTATCTATCATCTGTTTTCTCTCTCTCTCCCCTCCCCCCTTCACCTCCCGAGTCTCTGACCACTTTTCTTCCAGGAGGAGGTGCCTCAGCGGGAGCAGGGTGCCAAGTACTCTGCAGAGACTGGGAGGCTCATCCCTGCTTCCATCCGAGCCCTTAGCAGCCGCCACTCCCACCAGGGCCAAGGGAACCACCCTTCAAGCAGAGATGGCATCCAGGCCTTCGTCCTGCAGGATCAGGAGCTGCTGGTGAGACCCTGGGAAGGCGAGGGGCTGGGCAGGCCGTGGTCTGGGCAGGCCGGGGGATGGTGCCTCAGAGCAGCCCTATCTGAGGGCAGGGAACAGGTGGTATACCCCCAGGCTTACAGATCCTGGCTAGGGCTCTCACAAGCTGCTGGAAAGTGGGGCCTCTCCCAGGGATACTTGCACCTGAGACCGTCAGACTCAGAAACCACAGCCCTGGGAGTCAGGAGCCTGGATTCTAATCCCTCAGGCTTCCAGGTTTCTGTGTAAGCCCTTTCCTCTTTGTTAAGTCCTTTCCCCTCAAGGGGCCTTGGTTCCATGATCCAGTCAAACTGGGAGCATAAACATGTCACCACTGAAGTCTGTTCCAGCTTTGGCACTTGGCAAGTTCCTGAAGGGAGCTGCAGTGGTAGGATGAGATGCATGGAGCGGAAGGTCCCACCTAGTGTGTCCTCAGACTGCACCCCGGGGTGGGTACCCTGCAGCCTGCAAGGCCGGTGCCAGCCTAGTCTCCCCTGAGAGGATCTGCTCTGTGCTGGGACAAGGCACGAAGCCACCCACCTCCACATTCGAGTTTCCCATCAAGATCTGAGAGGAAGCCACGATGGTTCCAGGGGGTTAAGGCATTGAAAGTCCCTGTTAAGCCCTAGCCGGTTTGGTTCAGTGGATAGAGAATAGGCCTGCGGACCAAAGGGTCCCGGGTTCAATTCCAGTCAAGGGCATGTACCTCGGTTGCAGGCTCCTCCTCAACCCAGGCCCTGGTAG